ATTAAATTTATTGTTAATAAAATAATATTATTTTAATATTAATAAATTCAATACTTTTCTGCTTATACCCCCTCTCATCAAATGTTCGATTCCAAGAACAGCTGACGACATTTGGAAAAGTTAGCAACTATCAATAAAATTCTCTTTAAAAATATTTTTAAAATTTATAATTCGAAGAAACTAAACATAATAAATTATTTTCTAAGCAATTATTCTTATATCTAAATAATATAATAAATATTTTAAATGATTATATAATAAGTCTTTTCTTAAATCAAAAATTATTTATGACTTACTAACAAGAAATATAATCTTAAAAATTGCAAAAAAAAAACCTTGTAAATATTTTCGGCATTTAATAAGGTTTATGAAAATTTAAAAAATCAAATATAGAGTTTTTATATAATTTAAAGGTATTAAAATGATCATTTAACTATAATAAATTCATTATTAATTAATTGTTTTGGTTAATTAATAGCGTAAGAAGTTATATAGAGTAAGATTATGTAACGGTTACTTACCTATATTAACGATTTCGCTAGAAACAGAAGATAAACAGAGTAATAAAATGAACGTTTTGCACATGTTTTTCTATAAATGATTTTCACAATGAAGCATAGAACATCATAACTCTGAGTAAAACTGAAAAATCACGTGGAACCCAAAGGTCCCTCTTTGTTTACTCCCCAATGTTTGCCAAGAGATATGTAGTCGAAATGCTTTCTGCATCTCTGCGTTGAGAAACTCTGGCACAACTCCACCTTTTACGATGGAACTAATCTGTGACATTTTCTTCTCCAAAATCATCCGGAAATGTTTTCTCAACCAAAAAAAAAAAGAAAGAAAGAAATGAGTTTTGAGTTTTTATTCCACCACTTGTTTCATTTTAAATTAAACACTGANATAACTTTTGGAAATAGGGTTTAAATACAATTATGACTGATTCACTTCCTCTCACCCTTTCAGCTTTTGATTCAGTATAATTTTGAATGTAATAAAGCATAACTTTTAAATCCACAATTAATTACAATTAAAAGAAAAACAACATAAATTTTCTGTGTTTTCTTCTATATTACGCACTTAAATTTGACATAAATGTGGCATTCTAATTGAAGTAATTTCGGAAATTGTAAAATAGTAGTGTAGTACACATTCCAAATTTCTTATTTAAAGAATAAACAAGAAGAAGAAGAAGACTATTTTCATTCATTTCTTGAATGAAAATAGCAATCAACAGCTTCATTGTTTGTCCTTGAGTTTGTAATTTACGTGTTCATTGTTTAGTTCTGTGTTCAACTTTAATGATTTAAATGTTTTGGCGTGACTTTGAAAGAAAAATTTACAATAAAAAATTAATTTAGAATCTTTTAAATGAATAAATATATTTTAACTACACATAATTATAATATAGTGGTGATTTCATAAAGAATAATTAGCGTTGAAAAATTACAGACGAACAATCGTTAAATAATTATAATTGATGATTGATGATACGAGTTTTGTGATTAATGAATACAGGAAAAATTTCCTAATAAATTTTTAACGAAAAAAAAAAAAAATAATAAGGCAGTAAAAGAAAATAAAAAGAGAACAAGGGTAAATTTTGGCGAATAACCAAACGGATAATAATGATATAAAATACATTCTGTTATAAAATTAATTTAACAGGTTTCCTATGAATTTAGAAATATATTTATAGTGTTTTAATATAATTCAATTAACCTCTATATAACGCTTTTCAAGATAGTATATAATAACACCCTTTTAAAGTACCAATGAATGGATACTTATAAATGATAATAAACGAATTATTATGTGTGTAAATCGTAGTTTAACTACACTTATTTCATTGCAACATTAAGTATAATTTAGTACTTATGGAAAAAGTTTTTTTTATTTATTAAATTACAGTCGACCCCCCCCCCTATAACACTGTTGATAATTCCGTTTTATATGAATTCCATGTTGTACGAGTCACTTAGATTTTACAAATACATGAGCTGTTCACAGCCCGGCACATGTATTTGTAAAATCTAAGTGACTCGTACAACATGGAATTCATATAAAACGGAATTATCAACAGTGTTATAGGGGAGTTGACTTGTACTTCATAATAAAAAAATAAAAATATAAGGTGTTTTCATTTCCTAGGAAATTTTTTGGTAGTGTATTGCCATCTATTGTGTAGAAATGTAAGTTTTCTTTGATGAAAAATACTAGAAATAATTACGTAAAATTTACAAATTATTTGTAAAAATAAGCATTTTATATTATAATTAAAGGGAATATATAAAATTAATAAAAGCAAGTTTTTTTATCGTGCCATTAAAGTTACTTATCATTTTAATTTTTTTCTTGTTTTGTATACAAAACAACAAAATTATGGGCCTTTATTTGGAGGAGCAAATGCCAAATTATTCTATTTTTTTTATTTATACTTTGTATTATATTTAATTTATTGGACTTATTACACGATTTTATTGTCTGCGAGAGATTTAGCTTAAAAGGTTTATTAAAGATTTATTTTAAGACTCTTTGTGACATTTCTAAGTTTTAACGTACAGCATACATTGAGAACATAAACTAAAACGTATGTATTTCTGAAGATAATTAGAAAACTAAGTAAAACTTGGCTGTGGTGTCAGTACTGGCACATGGATTTTCCTTGGACGAACGTTGTACCAAACGTATCCAAATTCTGAAGTCTCAACATCACTCAACTTAGCAGGACTTTCCATACTTGTAAGCATGAGTTTAACTAATTTTCTGATTGCTTGATTTGTGCTTGGTTGAACTGCTTTGAGAAGAATTTCTGACCTTTGGAAGGGAAAACTTTCTTCTAAGTTGCACGAGATAAAACAGTGAGTTCAGTATTATTTTTTAAATTAAATGTTTTTGAAAATGCTAAAACTCTTTTATGCTAAATCACAGTAAAGAATATTATAGAAAAATTGAGTATTATTTAATCTCATATAAGATAAAAAAAAGTAAAAGAAATTAACTTTTTAATTCGAAATGTTTTCTGTAAAAAAACCTTTACAAATCAGTTATCCTTAATGCTATTTAAATTATCATATATGTATAAAAATATATAATTTATTATTGAATTTATTGTGTTATAAAATAATAGTACAACGATAAATAATAGTTTTTAAGAACGTTCATTCTTCTAAAATGATTAATTGTGGAGAAATACAATGAATGGATCTTTTAAGAGCGTGATGCTGTGTTTTGCTCCTCACACACTATTATTCATTTTTGTTTTCATTTATGCTAATATATATGTGCTCGTTGGTCGTTGCCAGAGAGCATAGCCCTGTATAACAGTTATTATAAAAATAAAAATAATAAAAAAATTTATAAAAATAGACTTTTTAATTTAATAACATACTGTAATTAATTGTTTATTTAAAAACATTTTAATTATTAATTTGCAGAGATATAACATGCATTTCAAAAGAAAGATGTGTCAAGTACCGTTTTTTAAATCTATATTTTAATAATATTTATATATTGTGATTTAGATTATACAAAATCAATATAATAATTTTCATTATGGCATTGCTTCTGTCTTATATAGAATTTATGAGAACACTTAATTATGAAATCATACTCATAATAAGAATAGGGCGAATGGATTAATAGCTAATCTGATAGGAGAAAGACGCCTATATTACATTCCTAAGGAAAAAAATGTGACTTGGCATCGTAGTTTTTGGAGATAAAACAATTTCTCTAATTCCACAAATTACTTGTTCTTCCTTATCTTGGTCACAGGAGCTTGTGTCTTCGCAATCAGCGCATCCCACCTTTGCACAAACTTAATGAATCCAATCCTGACAACGCATACATTGTAACAAAGCTTTCTATTTATCTTCATCGTACAGTTTACAAAACCAGAATCCTTCATTTACTCTCTGCATCATCTTCGACCTCTTCTTTAGTCTCTTCATCATCATGGAATTTAATACTTCAGGAATCTATTTTTTTTTTAATATACAAAAAGTCCAAAACAATGGACAATTTCCACAATTCTTGAGACGTCTTTTTGTCAAACATGTAAAGTTCTGATACATAAAACAACTAAGCATTGCTTCATACAAAATTATATAAAGAATGAATATCTGATCATGTAGTTCTTCTGGGTGTTTAAATTATTCGAGAAAGGCTCTTACAAGTATAGCATGGACTAGTTAGGACCGTCGAGAGGGGTGCTAGGAATTTTTTTCCAGGACTGATCTGGAAAAAACTTGGAGATCTGTAGTGATTACTACCCATATAAATTCTCATTGTCGTCCGTATGCTTGTCTCTCTTTCCTTATCTCGAGAATGGAGTTAGATAGATGAAAATCGAGACCAGATATGGAAACCTTATGGGCAGGAGGACCCGATTAACTATATACGAAATTCCGGTTTTGACCAGAAGTCACGTTATTTTAATTCAAAAATTTTCCCCTGAAAGGTGTTAGGTAGATGAACTGCACGACTCTGTTGTTAAAGGAAAAGAATGATGTACAGGGGCAAGCCACTACTAATTTCAGGTGGAGAGCATATATTTTAAGTTAAATAAATTAAAAATATGATTAAAAATTACAGCCAGGCATCGTGACGATGTCACAGTAAATAATTGTTCGTTTAAATTTTTTAAACTATCGTCTTGCAGTTTTTATTTTTATGATTTTACATACGATTGATCTATCTAACTCTGTTTTCGAGATTAACGAGAGAAGACAGACAATTGTGGGAATGTATAGGTTTGAAATACGAAAATTGCACAGCCCAATTAGCAAACTATTTAATGAACGTATCCTTTACAGTGACTTATGAAGATTGAATTGTATTTGAAAAAAAAATTATCTTACATTATGATTTTTTAAAACTCTTTCTGTCCTGATTAAGAGGCAAGCCCATTATGGGTTAGGCCAGGCCTACAATGGTGTGACCGATACATCAGAACGGATCATCCACAAAAATTCATGAGGTTTTTCGACTCTTACAGAGCGACAGGCTCTCAATTTAACCGGTCGCTTGTATATTATGATTAATGTAATAAATTATTAAGATTTATGTAATAAACAAAATGAACAATTAACATGCTGACTATAAATTAAGTAAATAAATGTTATACAGTAATTTAATACAAAATAGCCTGTGTGTAAAAGTATTTTTAAGTTTGTCATATCAATATATACAAAAATATCGTTATTATTCGAGCGAAATGCCTAAAGGCAATCAGATATTGAAACTTGTTGCTTTAAGGTATTTTTATCATGTAACATCTTATTACAAGGTTTTATTACAAGATAATACATGTAATATATCATATCTCAAAAATATACAGTTAAGTTGTATAGTTTTTCTAATATTTTTCTAATTTTAATAATAATTCGTGAGAATTGTTTGGTATTAAATCAGTAAAATCTGAAGAAACGTCTATAAAATATTTCTCAATTGTACAGACATTGGACTAGAATTTTCAAATTGCAAACCTATAAATTCTAAATGGTGTCTGTTCTGTCCTTCCTTAATCTCGTGAAAGTAGTTAAATAGATAAAAGTCGAGACCAGATATGAAAAGTTTAGTAGCAGGAGGCACAGAACTTCTGGTCTAGACTGAAGTCACATGGTTTTAATTCAAACATTTTCTTCAAAACAAAGTTAGATAGATGACCAGTTGGACTCTGTTGTTATCAGGGAAAGTATTTTGTAGATGGGCGAAACACTACTAAAATCATATATTTTAAATTTACT